TACATACATTAAAAAGAAATAACACTCTGACACCCCGTCTAACAGTTGTAGTTCGCAAGAATTACACGTTAACAATATTGAAAAAGACGATTTTCAGTATCTAGTATACGGAAATACAAATTTATTATACTGTTTATCTACGTTTATTATACGTTTTTTAAACGTATTATTTCCATATACTTTCCTTATACATATTATTTATAGGGTAATACAGAGAATGATGTTCATATAAATAGAAATAATGTGAATGAAAGAAAGATTGGAAATATGAATTTTAATCCTACTTCTTTAGTTGATCAAATTTTGGATATTATAGAAATTTAAAAAAGAGAAGGATAACAAAAAATAAGGATTTGTAGAAGTTTTTTTTTTTTTTTTTTTAGTTTATTAATGTATTCATTTGATATTAGTTATAGTTGGTATTTATATATATATATATTATGATTTTTCTAGTTAATATTAATATTAATATTCTTTGTTTTAGGTAAAATAGGTTTGATGGCTTTTTTTTAGCTAGCTGATTTCTATTTTTTTTTTCGAAATAATAAAAAAAATTTAAAAAAACATTCAAAAAATTATAAAAATAATACTTAATATTTTACAAATGGATTATAAAAGAAAAACTATATTGATCATTAATTCAAATCAAACAAACATGATCTTATTGAAGAGATTATATTTATAGCTTTAATTCTTATTCAAAGATTTGATGAAAAATATAAGTATACATTTAATTAGTAATTTGTTTTTAGTATAAGTGAAAAAGACTGACTAATGATCTTATCTTATTTGTAGAGGTTGGAACTGGTTAATTTTAACTGGTTAATTAATTGGTTAAGACATTTATCTTGTTAACCGGTTAAAGATTTTTTTTAACTAGTTAAAATAACTAATGCTAACTCTGGTCGAAATTCAATTTTCGGGTAGAATTAAATTTTTTTACAATTACAAAATTTGCTAGTTTTACCCAAATTTATAATACCGGCCTGAATTAAATTTAACTGGTTAATTAACCAGTTAAAGAAATTTTTAACTGGTTATTAACCGGTTAAGGATTTTTGAGCCGGTTCTAACCTCTACTTATTTGTAGGGATGTTTATGATCCTAAAAAATGTTTTCTATGTAGAAGAGTTCATAAACCTTGACTTGCTTAATAGAATTGCAAATCTATAGTAACTGAATTAAAAATTTCTGAAATATAAGTTTATTAATAATAATATTTGATGAAAATTTGATAAAAATAATAAGGAAATAAATATTAACTTATCTTATAATTCACAATCTAATTTTTAAGTTATAGAATGACTTGATTATTAACGATTGAAAAGATATTTTATTTAGAAAAAAGTATGTTAATTTTTTTCAGATTCAGTTAATCAAAATTACTAATTTATTTTATTTAATATATAGATGTAATTGAATTTTTAATTTTTCAGCTTTAATTTAGAAAATCTATGATGATTGAAATTGAAAATATGGAAATTCTCAAGTAAAAAGTAAAAAAAAAATTAGTATTAATTATTTATTTTAGATTCAATTGATAAAAAGACATAATTATTTTACTAATCTACTTATTCGTCTTAATTGATTTCTCTTGATCCTTTGACTTTACTTTATAATGATCAAAATTGAAGATATAGAAATTCTCAAATAGAAGATAAAAAAATGTTATTATTAGCTATTTACTTTGCATTTAGTTAATAAAGTATAATTACTAATTTATTTTTCTATCTGTCTTGTATATATGAAATTGAATTCTTTATCTATTCAATATTACCTTTTAGTTAAAGTCTTATTTCTATAAAGCAAGAATGCAATCTCATTCAAAAATTAATTTTACTTAACGATCTCTGATCTTCTCATCATTAATTAAAAAAATTATCAAATTGAAAAAGATCGATTACATTATAATAGGATCTTATTATATTAATGATAATGAAGCAAGCTCTGACTTTAGAGTATCAGTATGCTTATATAAACCCACATATTTAGATTATCTTAATTAAAAATGATAAAATAAATAATTAGTTCAAAATTATATCTAAATTCAGGTTTTACAAAATTAAAATCATATGGGTCTTAGGATTTATGATTAATTGATCTATTACTTTTAAGTGACTTAAGTCATGATCACATTGTCTAAAGTAACTGCAGTTATGCTTATGTTTAAAGTAACTTAGGATACAGTTGAGTCATACATTTAAACATTAAATAGATTTTAATCTACATCATAAATAAATCGTTGATATGATAAAAATTTTTTATATTATATCATTAAGCCTGTATTCTTACGTTTAACAATTTACTTTTTATTTCTATAAGTTTATTTACTTATAAGTATATTCATCTTATGATTATTTCTAAATCTTTTTTAACTAAAATTTGGGTTAATTATTTTTATAAGTAATTATACAATCGATTAGAAATATTCAATAAAAAAAAATTTTTTTTAATTGTTAAATTTATTACTTTTTTTTAAAAGTATATATAAAGTTATTTAAATTAAAATATTTATTATATAAGAAGGTATTAATTCTAATTGGTTACTGATCATGTAAATGCATTTATAGAAAATCTCTAATATATTCAATTGCTTGCACATGTAGAATATGAAGGATGTACATATAGCTCTAAGTTCTGAGCTTAGGACTGAGATTTTAGCAATTATAATTATTTATATTTTTTTTTGAATAATGTTTTTAAATTTAGTGTATACCTTTTGAATTTTTAATAAAATACATATTAATTGGTAATTTTCCATTTCTAAATAAAATTTAATCAAGATGATAAAAGTTTTTTTTCAATATTATTGCAATTATAATAAGATATATTGGTCAAAAAGTTTTAAGAGAAAAACGTTGATTTAATTAAAAATTTCTAAATACCAACTGGTAAACAATAAGTCTATAATAAAACTTCTATAATTTAAAACTATAAAACATACATTACATTATAAATTAATTCCAATGTAAAAGAAGACTTTATTACAAAAAAAAAAAGAGATCTAATTCATCCTTAAATACAAAAAATCTATATTAAAAATAATAATACTGAATTTACAAATTCCCTATTTAATAGAATAAGTAACATCAATTGAGGAATTATTCAGAACCATTTTATTCATCTAAATATTCCGGTCGATTTTCTTTCCATGCATTAACTCTTTGAATATAAGACTCAATAAAATCTTTATCACTTACGGAAGAAATATTTATTAAATGATGATAAGTATTCAACAACTATTTCAAAAAAAAACAAACAAACCAATTTTGATTAATTTTCTAATGATAATATCTTACTAAACGACTCTTAAAATATAAAATTTCTTACCTGATTTCTTAATTGTTCTTGATATTTAACTTCGCTAAATCCAGTACCCGTCAAATTATCAATTTTTTCTAATGAAGTTACAACGGCATGTAATATTTTACTTAACATTATAGTATCTCCGCCGTACTTAGCACGAGTCGTTGGTGTTGATAATGCTAAGCACGCATTGATACGAACTTTGAAATTCTTTGATGTTTGTACTACTTTTATTAATGATTCATATAATGGTATTGACCAATTATTGGATCTTAATCCTATAGGAAAATTTGGATTACGCAACATATTTGCTGCCGCATAACACGCATTCCATCGAACCTTGTTTTATAAAAAAAGTGTAAGCTTTTCAGTAGTATTCGAGAAAAGCGACCTTAGTTAATATAAAACATACTTTCAAAGTTCCTGTTTCAAAGTTCTTAATTAAAATCATAACAACATCTTTTATTAATCCCCTTTCTTCCCTCTCCAAGAAATTTGTTGGACTAACGTGAATTATGCTACCTAACATTCTGACTCCATTAGGTCTTACTTTTTCATTATCATTTGAAGCTGCTAATCCTGCCTTTACTATTCTTGCCCACATAACATTAATCAAGAATTCGGTTAAATTTGTATTCTTATTTGATATCCCTTGATTATTGTCTGGGTCACTAATATTAAAATTATTTTAATAAATGTAATAATGTTGATCATTTTAATGATAATTTATCGTTACTATAGACATTTACCTTAATAACACTATCGTATCACACAAATTTCCTAACGCCCAACTACTTCTAGTTCTGACCAAAATATTTTGATCTGACATTTGTTGAATAACCGAAAGTGCCATATCTGAAGCAAATTTTGTGTCCTAAATAGAAACATATATTAAAAATAAATAAAAACAAACTTATGAAAGTAATTAATATATGATCGTATACCTGTTGTAAACAAGGAAATAATATGTAAACACCAAGTCCTCTACATGCAGCTGCCCTAACATTTGGACTTTCATCTTTAGAAAATCCCAATAATATTTTAATACAATACTTCCTCTTCTCTACCTGATAATTCAATTAAATATTAAAAGGAATTAGTTCTCCAATATTCACTATTGATATTTCAAATGAAAATATATATTTACGGATATTTCCGAGAACACGTCAGATGGAATGTGTGATATCAAGTCACACGTTAAAGCTCTAACGGCATGACATTTATCAATTGTGGCACTTTGAATATGTTGATCAAATATGGAAATCCACCATTGAAATACTTCTGAAGTAACTGCTTTCTGAACGCGTTTAACCTAAACGGAATAAAAAATATAAATCAATTAAAATGAAGTTCAAAATTTGTCAAGACAAATTATTTACCATAACGTCCTCATCAATGTTTTTATTACTTCCATCCAAAGCTACTGCTTGTTCTTTAGCATATTCAATCAAAAAAGTCATTGCAGCTGTTCTAATTTTTTCATCTTCACAAGCAAGATCATTGACAATCAAAGGATTAATATGTTTCCAAGCTGGACTAGAGAAAAATAAAGAAATATAGAACAAATAATCTCGATGAATAAATAAAAAAAATTAAAAATTAAAAAACTATTTAAATTACCTGACTATGTTAAAATGAGTTCTCGTACAAGCACATAAAACTCCCCATGCTTCAATTTTCATTGCAGGTGATTGGTCTTTACTTCCGATCACCAACACTAAATAATATAAAAGACTCATTTCATCATAATTTTGGAAAAATGACGACCTGGGAATATTTTCTGAAACGCTATTAATAATTTCAGCTAATAACAATTTATCCACCTCTTTGATACATGTTTTACAATCCATAATTGTAGATATCAAAGTCATGGTTGCAAGCCTGACAGCATTTTCTATAATTAAATTTTCATTTCAATAAATGTAAATAAAGTGAACAAAGTAATTTGTGATATGTGACATACCATTATGTACCAAGAAATTCGCAGTTGTGTAATATAAACGAGATAGATATCCTGATGATAACCTATCATATGCCATATTGCTCGCCAAAACATTGCAGCACTTTTTTTTACAAAATAGAAGTTAATATAGATATTTTCTTAAAACATATCTTACATACATACCTTTAATAACTGGGTTAAAACAAGATTATGATCTTCTCTCGAAATAACTTGAAGTAATCCAGCATGAAGTTCTCGTACAATCGTACCCAATTTCGCAGATAATGAAGTGAAAGAAGTTTTAATTTCTCTAAGAGAAATAAAATATTTTTATTAGGTTGCTTTCATTAAAAAATATTATTTGACATAACACAAACACTTACCGATCATCAGCAGCAGCTAAATATTGCCTAGAACCATCAATCATTGTATTGATTACAGAACAAGCACTTATACGAACTGTAAGCATAGGTTCACAAGTAATTATAGTAAGTAATGTTGGAGGAGAAGTTTCAGAAGTTTCAGTATAAGGAAGGAAAGTACTCCAATGTTGATACAACAACTTTGATGACACCTAATTAAAAGGAAAATTTGTTAACACAAATGATGTCATTATTTGGTGCGATTGGGGATAATAACTTACTTTTGCAATGCTCTGCAAATATCCCAGCGCGTTTGCTCGAATTCGAGAATCTTCATCTCTATAAGGAAAAAAATTGGTTTAATTTAATAAAGTTGTTTTTAAAGTAAATTTTGATGCAAAATTTTACCTTTTATAAATAGACTGTGTGTGTTCTCCATCAGATATTTCTGAATCGGAACTCAAAACTGAACGACTAATAGACTTCATTCTACTATGCCTTCTTAAATGTTTTTGTGTCGATGGACTAGAATTGCATACACTATTACCTGCTGTTATTCGAGATTGATCTGTACTAAAAATAAAATAATAAAGCCTTTAAATCTTGTTATTCAAAAAAAAAAAAAAAAAAGATTGAAAAGAATGATATTTTCACCTATTTCTGCTTGAAGTTTCTTAATATCATCAACATTATAGAAGACATATTTCTTGATTATTTCAATCGTTGAACCAAAAGGTTCCGATAAAACACTTTTATCTTCTAACACAATAAATTGTAGAGCCCTCAGTGTGCTGCTTATAGTCTGAAATAATAGAATGATCCAGGTTAATAAGGTTATATGATAAGATGTTTTACGAAATCGATCTTAATAAATACCTTGAGATAAGCTGATTCATCGTCGGAGGGGTTTGGTAAATTTAGACTAGCCAGAAGTAATTCATAAACATTTTTGTATTTTCCTTGAAATTTATTTCCCGTACGATAGCATAAATTTCCTAAACAATTTATCGCCATTCGTCTGATATCAAGGTTTTTATTATCTTCTTTAACAAGTGGTAAAAGAATATACAACAGCTGATCATGTAACTTTAATAAAAGAAATTCATGTAATAAATAAATAAATAAATAAATAAAGGATTAAAAAATTTTCACATAGGAAATTTTACCTTTTTGCATTCCTGCCCGTTCTCATATAAAACCCGACTCATTGCTCTCAATATGCCGACGATATAAACAGGTTGAGTAGCATTAGTAAAAGATTTGATTAAAAATGAAAGTATAATTTCTAAAGGGGATTGTCCTGAAGAAGTATCATTAAGTTTAACCTAAAAAAATCAATAATTTGTATAAGAAAACAATTAAAAGAGAACGATAATTAAATAAATTTATATATACTCTTACCAAATGTTTCTTACAAAAATTAATAATAATTCTACCGAACTTTGTAGCCAAAGCTTCATCAGAAGGACTAACCGTTTGGCAACCAGTAATTAAAAGTTCTAACAAATCTTCAGTAAAAGTATTATTTGTATTGAAATTTGTTGATAAAATCACTTCTAAAATTTGTTCTAGACTTGGTGGTGAATTATTTATTTTTGAAGGATAATTAGCTCTTAAAACTTTCTTTGATATATCATTAAAAGCAATTGATGTATTGGATATCTTATTGACGTTACTAGTACCAGAGATACTATTAACAACTATTGAATTTGTCATGATTTCATAAAATTCGTACCGAAAAAAATGTCGAAAAAGATAATTAGTCGGGTTCTTTTTCTTCACTAAACGTTTGAACTCGTGATTCGTACAACGGTGATACAGATCTACAGTCATCGAAGAAGAATGGGAAGAGAGATAAGTATTGTTGGGAGGATTTTATTCAAGATTATTTTTATTTTCGATTTTAAAGTTATTTTTACTTAATAAAAATGGACTATTACATAATAATATCTCCAACCAATATACACTATATTTATTATTTTTATTATTTTTATTATTTCCCTCTAAATCTTCTAATCTAGAAATTTTTGACAAAATATATACATTCAAATGATAAATTTTATTTATTTTATATCCTTTTTTTTTTTTTTTTTTTTTTTTTTTTTTAAATAAACCCCCCAATTATTAAGGAGAATAAAGAACAAAAAGAAATTAATAACCCAAAAAAAAATTTAAATTTAAATTTAAATTATTATTACCTTGGACATCATTATTAATAAATCCTGTGCTCATGCTAAAAATCATTTGAATTTCATACCTATGAACTTCGAAAAGAAATATTTTTAAAAAAATGAGTGTGTTGAAAGCGAACTAAAATAACAGTAAAACAAGCGAAAAGAAAATCCATTTTTTTTAATGTCTTTAAAATACATTTTACAAAAAGAATATACATTACAGTTTTCGGCCTGATCAAAAAAAACAAACAATAAAAATGGAAAAAAAAAAAATTGTTCATGTTGAAGGGAATGTCATTAATTGTGTTCAGATAAATCAACTCTGTCATAATCCAATATACATGTTTTTGAAACAAAATCGACCCCTTCTGCTTCAACTGAATACTTATGATCTCCCATATCCTTGCCCACCAAAATTCTCCACTGGGTTAATCCTGAACGAAGTTTATTAACTGTATTTTCGGATATCTGTAAAGTATCCATAATATTCTTCATGATAACTGTTGGATCTAAAGAAGAAGAATTATATCGATGTTTTCGACATCTCAAAATGTAAAGTATAAGCTTTTCTAAATTTCCAGATGTTGTGCAAGGTAAAACGGAAGAATTAAGGAACGAATCCCATTTGATCGCGTCGTAGGGACTAGTAACTTTAACCTGGGATAAGGTTCGCTTATCAGTATGTAAAAAGAGATGCTCAAGAGTTTCTTCGTCAACTAAATTTGTCGTGATAGATTGTATGGGACAAGTATATTCTTCAAATATTTCAGTACGTTTATAAACTATGCCGACCAATTTAATGGTTTGTAAGTTTCGGCAAGGTCTCAATAAAGTATCAATACAAATCTTCAAAGGGGAACTCCTTATCGAATTATGGCTGCCATCTCCCAATACATTACTTAATTCCAATTCCTTTAAACTATCGCCCAGAAATTGTAATGCGACCTCAATTCCCTTATTAAAGAATTGGGATCCTCTTAAAGAAAGTTTTTTAATTCCGAGATTATTTTGGGCGATATTGGTCAAACAATCGTCATCCACAAGGACAAAATCTGAACTGAGAGTCACATCTTTCAATGTGCCTTGACCAAATGCTGAGGCAAATAAATCCTTGAAATCACTCCACTTTGATTTGATCATATACCTAGAAAATGCTTTGTTAACACTCTCATCATCATAATAATCGTTTATAATTCTACGTTCAACTTTTGCCAGGAAGGTCAATTGTTGTATATTGGGACAACGTTTAGCTATAACTTGAAGTAATGAAGATATAGTAGGAATCCTTTGCGAATGTTCGTCTCCACTATTTACGGTGAAGTTAATCTCCAATTCTTTTAAATAATTTCCGTAAGGGAATAAGAGCTGTTCTTTTTTCAAGATATTGAGGATTTGGGTATTATGCGATCGAAGGTTGCTATTATTAGCTATTATTCGAGCGTAATGCCACACATAGGGCAAGACTAAGTTGGCGAAATAGCGAGAGGTGTACCCAAGTGGTAACAATTTTTTAACCGTATTAACATGTTTTGCGCGAGGGTCCTCGTACAGATCAAATTCATAACGACATGCTTCATAAAGGCTAAATATTATTAAATGCTAGATAATAAAGTAATAAAAATTCGACGATTAATATACTCCTAGTGAGAAAATTGATTGTTATATTATCACAAATAAAATTCATACCAGTACATCGTCATTGAGACCTTCGAAAGCACCGCCTTCTTTTTGTATAGAGGATTCTCCCATTTATAAATTAATATCAAACGAAATGAAATATTAAAAATTGTAAAAAAAAAATATTTAAAATTGCGGGGGAAAGTAAAACAAATGTTTTTTTGTCTTTTTTTTTTCTTATATAAGTAATCTTATCGGTTAAATAGAAATCGAATCATGTGTATGTGTACAAACCGACTTAGAATAGGATTTTTAAGTGACTCTCGTTTATGCAACCGGAGTTTCTATAATAGGACTAAACAAAACTATTTGCATACATTTTAACAATCTTATTTGTAAATCCCCATTTATTTATGAAATTAAACCTTTTTTAAAATTTATTAACTTAATTCTAATCAAATTAAAATTAAAATTTATTTTATAATATTTATTAAATTATAATTTTGGATTTTTCTTTTTTGCATCTTCCTTCCATAAAAGTTTTAATTTGTTAAATACTTCATCTTCAATAAAATAATCAAGTGCTAAATCTCTATTTCCAGGTGTAACAAGATACTGATCAAATTCTGTCTGGCCATGTTCTCTTAAAATAATTTCATCGAGGACAAAATTACCGCTAAACAAAATTTTATATTTTTAATAAATTACTTGAAAACAAAATACAAATTTTTTTTTTTAATAATTACCTGAAACGTGTGGAATCTTTGGTGAGAATCAATCGAGCCGCATCTGCTACAATTTGAGGTGTTCGAGATTTAGATGCCACAAATTTATCCACGATTTTCAGCGCAGCTGTATCGATTGCGGTAACTGGCCAAAGCGCTAATATTAATAAACAATTTAATTTTTTTATTTAATATTAATAAATTTTTCTTATAAATTCAAAATCGCTCTTGAATAATACCATTTGCTGCAATTCCATGTTCACGAAATTCGCCAGCCCATCCTAAAATACACAGTGACATGTTATATTTAGCAATTGAGTATGCAACATGGCCCGAAAACCATTGTTCTGTAATGGTAAGTGGCGGACTAATGTTCAATATATGAGGGTTTCTATTTTGTCTTCCACTTTCGATAAGATATGGAAGCGCATACTATAAAAGAAACAAAAAAATAGGAGTTAGAATAAAATAAATGAACTGCGAAAAATGCAGTGAAATTATGATAATCGGTACTTTTGTCACCAACCAAGTCCCACGAGCATTGATTTCGTGCATGAGATTATATTTTTTGAGAGTCGTATTTTGTGTATCGGTCAAAGAAATTGCAGAAGCTATTATAAATAGAAAATTAACGTGTAAAAAACGTGTAAACACGTTCTTTTTTACGATCACATCTAATCAATTCATACATACCATTGTTAACAACAATATCAATTCCACCAAATTTTTCCACAGTTTTTTGTATCGCGGATTTAACAGATTCTTCATCACGAATGTCACATACCAATGGAAGAGCTATAATTTTTTTTTGTTTGAAGTGAGCAAATGAATATATATGCATCTTAACGAAATGGATCACGTGAATAATACAAATACCCTTTCCTCCCGCGCGTTCAATTTCTTCTGCGGCAGTGAATATTGTACCGGGCAACTTGAAAATATTATTAGTGTAAGACATTGATTGACCTTCCATGCGTCACAAAGAAATTCTTATCTCACCTTTGGATGTGGCGTAGCAGTCTTTGCAGCAACGGCGACCCTTCTAAAATTATATTAAATATGTTTTAGAACCTTGATCGCTGATATATTTTTAAGAATTTATCTTCAACCTACCCTCCATCTTTTCCAGCTCTCAATGCTATTGCCAAACCAATTCCTCTAAAATTAAAATTTTGAATTTTAACTTTCGATCATTAATGATAGATAATTTTCTAATAATGTATTTTTTTTTTATTTTACCTAGAAGCACCGCTAACGAATAAAACCTTATCTTTAAGTGTTGCAGTCATTTTGGTAATTTTAGGATTGGTTTCCGAATATTACTTTATTAAATAAAAAAAAATAAAAAATTTAATAAAAATATTTTTATCAGAAGTCAAATGACATTTATTGATGTCGATCAAAAAAAAATATTTTTTTTTACCACTATATCTTGATTAGAATCAGTCTATTTGCGGAATTTGCGGAGCGCAACTTACTTTTGATTTCCGCAAATTATTAATCTACTTTACTTCATAATATGGGAGCTTTGCAGTAGAAAGGGAGAAAACTCTAAATAAATTAAAATTTTATTTTCTAAGCTAATTATGATTTTTTAGTAAAATAAGAAAATAAGTCCAGATTCAAAAAAATTTTTTTTTAGAGTTTCCTCCCTTTTACTGCAAAGCTTCCATATGGAAAGCAGTTAGTAGAAAAGGGAAAAATCCAAAATTTTTGTTAATTTTTATTATTAAGCTAAATTTGTACACATGACCAAGATTAGCCAAATGGTCTAATAATATAAATTTTGATCAAAATTTGGATTTTTCTCTTTTCTACTGATCACTTCCCATATACTTATTTATTAATATATATATATATTAGAAGACTTTGTATAATAATTAATAATTAATATATTTTTTTTAACTTTGAATTACATTTTTGCTATTTGTATTATACTAATATTAATATTATTAATGATTTATTTTACATATTTTTTCTTTTTTTATCCTATTTTTTAAAAATAATTACAATTATACTATTATTTTTTATTATTATTAAGAAATTTATATAAATTTTTTAATAAATAAAAAATTGTGATTTAAATTTCATTTACAAAATATTTCAACTTAAAAAATCAAAGTTTAAATAAAAGTAAAATGATCAAATTGATATGATTTATATGATTTATTATTTAAAATATAAAAAAATATATAATCTTAATCAATATTATTTTATTTTTTATAAAATAACAACTATTCGATTTCTTATGACTAGATATATAAATGTAATAAGTTAAAATCAATTGATTTTTGAAAAAGCTAATTTTAAGATAATTGTAATTGGATTAAAATTTAAACTTCTTTATTAAATAATATTTATTAATTATAATTTTATTAGATAATTTAATTATGAATATCAAATGGTATTAGTTTTATAAGTAATAAAATAATATTGAATAAAATTATACATTTTTATTTTGTGTGTTTTTTTTTAATATAAATTATTTGATATAATAATATTAATTTTAATTTTATATAAATAAATATAATTATTAATCTGTAATTTTTACTTATATTATATTAAGAAAAATTTTAAATTTTGAAAAAATTTAATTTTTAAGAATGTTAATAAAAAATTTTATTAATTGATTTGATGTTATAAAAATATAATTATATTGATATATAGAAGGTTTGCTAGAAAAATGAGACTCTAAGTATTTTTTATTAAAATTTTAATATATATTGCATCCTAATTTAATATTATCAAAAATTAAAATACAATAAAATTAAAATTTTAATAAAAATTTCTTAGAGTCTCATTTTTCTAGCAAATTCCCTATATATTAAATTACATATTTTTATAATATATTATTATTCTTTATATTTATATTTAATATTTATTTATAAAAATCTTTATTTATTTAATACTTATTTATCATTTTTATTATATTAAATAAAATATTTTAAAATAAATATTAATAACATTATATTTGTAGAATTTATTTTAAATTATGATAAAATATAAACTAATTTATATTAGATCTATATTTATTTTATTTTACTTATCGTCAATTATGCTAGAAATTAAGCTATTTTTAATTATTTTAATTATATATTTAAAAATAAGAAAAATAAAAGTTTAAAATAAAGCAATTATAAAAATAATTTTTGTATTTATATTATTATTATTTTTTATTATTTTTTATATAAGAGGTAGTCAATAGAAAAGGAAAAGATCTAAAATTTTTGTTAATTTTAATTATTAAGCTAATTTTGTGTATATGATCAAAATCAGCCAAGTGGCCTAATAATATAAATTTTGACCAAAATTTGAATTTTTCCATTTTCTACTAACTGCCTTCTATATTATAAATTAGAGATATTAAACAGTTCCAAATGACTGTAAATAAATATTGAAATTACGAATTATAGAAAAAGTAACTTTTGATATATTATTGTAATAATAAATTTTATGAATAACTTATAAAAGAAATATGAACTTTAAAATTAACAATTAATATTAGACCGCTAAGGTGGAACTTAATCCTTAAAACTGGGTTCTAAGTTTTAAAAATTAAGATTCTGGGTTCCTGCATAAAATTAATATATATTTTTAAAAAATATTCAATTAATTAATTATCATTAAAAAGTAATATTAGTAAAATAAAAAATTTCTCTAAAACTGACAAATTTATTAGAACTTTTAGCACTATTTAGGACTGTTTATCATCTCTATTATAAATGGATCTATAAAATAATCTATATATAATTAATTGATTTATAAAATTGATCTATATATATGATGTTAAAAATAGTAACATTAATATAGTTAATATAATTAATATAATTGACATATTTGATATTTTTGATATATTCTACATGTTTAATTTATTTAATATATACAATGAACTCTTGATATAACAAATTCTAGGATCTGTATATCAACTTCGTTATAAGCTTATAATGAATTTTTTAAAAAATTTAATTGGCTAGTTCACTATAGTAAAGGTAATTTTAATATATTTAATTTAAAAATTCGCTATATCAAGGTTCACTATATTAAGGTTTAACTGTATACCTATTCTAGTAGATATCTAATTTACTTGTAGTAATATGTGATTCTAATATTTATGAGCAGTACGTTTACCATCTAACGTGTATTTTCATGTAGTATAGGCAACACGTCATAGTACAGATGTGTATTTTCACTTTAGTTTTGCATATTAGCAGTAATTCAAATAGCTGTAGGCATATTTAGTTTTTATAACTAACTAGTTTGCTACTAAATCATCTATCCACTCAAACTTTTTTTTAGGTTTCAAAATTGTGTTGATTCTGAATTTGAGAAAATATTGGAGAAA